GGCGGAGCCTCGGGGCGCTGCCGGGCGCTCCCCGGGTGCCGGAGCCCCACCGGCCGGGAGCGGCGGGCGGGGGCAGCGGCAGCAACAAGTCCGCACAGCCGCTGTCCCGGGCACGGGAGCGGGAGCGCAGCCCGGTGTGTGGAGCCGGGCGGGTTCCCAAGGGCGCTGTGGGGACAGCCCGTCCCGCTGGAGGGGTTGGAGGGCACAGCCCCTGCACCCGTCTCGCCTGGCACGGCGTGTGCGCTGGGACCGCGGGCACAGCCCAGCCCGGGCTCTGCAGGGACAGCTGCGGGCTCCCAGTGAAGGCTGAGCTGCTCCCGCTGGGCCATCGYGCTCGGGAAAGTGCAGAGGGATAGTTTGAATCGAGTGGAACCCGTGCAGAAGAGGGGCGGGGGTTTTGTGCAGAGGTCGAGACGCCCCTCGGGATCAGTGTCCAGGCATGGGTGGGTGTCYAGTGCACTGCACTGACCACGCTCAGGTCCCAGTTCCTGAGGCAAGTACAGCATAAAAGTCCCCAAATGCACTTAACTCTGCTGTCGTTCTCCACGGAGGGAAAAGTTTCTTCCAACAGTTCTTTCCAAACAAGTCCCTGAATTGATGTAGTATCCTGTCTGTCAGTTTCCTGGTGCTATTGACAAGATGTGTGAGCTGAAACATTTTCAGAGTGAAGTACTGATATTGACAGAAGGCTYTGTACTTTTCTTGTGTGGCAGATACTGAACAGCATTAGTGTTTATGTAGTACTCATGCTGCTTAGGATCAATTTCCAGRTTAATACCTGTACTGTTGCTGGTGAAGCAGTGAGAAGAAATGTAACATAAAGAATTCACTTCTTTGTGCAAGTTTTGCTCTCAGATTCATGGGTACAGCTTTATTTCAACTGCAGATTTTATGCTCTGTTGATGTAWAAGTGTCATTAGCTGGACTCATGTAGCTGATTGGTATCTGGAATAAAACTGAGCTGSAGACCAGCTTATTCAAGCTAGCAAAGCGTGCTTTGAGTTCAAACCCCCAGRTACAACATTACAGCTGCCTTTCTGCATGTGTTGTATTCGTTGTGTTCATGCTGCACATTTTGATAGCAGTAACTAAACCTCGAGTTGCCTTTCATGTGCATCTTTACTTGGCCTGCTCTCCAGGGACTCTGWGGGCAGCAGATGGACTCAACCTTGAAACCAAAGGTTATAGTGGACTGAAAAAATGTGGAAGTGCTTTATTTGAGATGTTTTTTACATTTCTGCTTGGATACTTTAAACAAATGTAGCATTTACATCTTGGTCTCTCACTGCCTCTGGCCAGACTGTCCTGTGCCTCTGTGTATCTTCAGTGGGAGCACWGGAGCAGCTGAATAAAAACTTTCAGCCTAAGTCTTTGCAGATAACAGAGATTAGATCTCTGTAACTTCTTTGTAACTTCTTTCCTTATTTCTTTAGCGGGTGCACCTTTTGATATGGGTGTATGTTTGAAATCTGTAGCAACTTAGAACACATCCAACCATTGCTAAACAGAGGCTTTGGCCAAGCAGGGCTTCATTTGTAGAGCCCTGTGATACTCTGCCTGGTGGATAATGCACTACACAGGGCCTTGGTAGTTCCAAATTTTACTCCCGTTTCAGCTGCTGGTCTGTTGGGATGAGTTTGGCCAAGGCACTTTGTCTCAGTTTGCACATCTGCAAAACAGACATTTGCCACCAGCTCCATTTGTGAGATGCTGCCAGGCCTGCAAAGGTGTGCAGGGCTGTGTGACAGTCACACATTCCTGTCTGTGGGGCAGGGAGTGCAGGATAAAAACCGGTGAGTTTGGTCAGCCTCTTGTAAGGTACCCGGGTTCCAGATCCTCCAGGCATGGCTGCGTGTGAGGAGTCTCCATCACTCCTCTGACACCTCTCCAGAAACAGAGTGAAGAGAATTTACACTGGAGACTGTGATCATTCTTATTCCTTTGATTTCTGCACGGGCACACGGGTCTGCTTCACTGTTCTTGTCTGTGAGTGAGTCCTGACAGCAGCAGCACTGGCTGTTCCACTCTCCAGATCCAGGTGCTGTCATTCCAACCTTTTCCTTTCCCCACTCAGTTTTGGGATTTTTGTTGTACTGRATGGACTAGAATGCTGCTTTCAGGCATACATTCTCCAGGAGATAATAGACACTAGGAGTGATTGTTGTAGCCAGGAAATCCAACACACCTGGGAATTGCATCCTTCACAGGCGAGATGCCGTGTGCTTACARTAAAAGCACTTCAGCACATTTCGGCTCTACAGGTTTTTGCCTTGGAGTTCTTAATGTTCCTTTTCCTGAGTACTTATTGAAATTGCTTCTTGCTCAGGTGCATTTTCTATAAGCTTTTCRTGCACTTAATGYGGGTTTATTAGATTTTGCATGAAATTCTCATTATCGTTGTGTTCCCTTCTCTTGCTCTTGTGTCTTTGACTTAGAGCAAGGAAGAATATTCAAAAGTGCAGTCTAATGGTGGGGGCAGGAACAGATGTCTGTAAGATACCAGTGGTGTGATTTGCTTCTCCTTCCCAGCAGTGCATTCAGTACCTGTATACAGATGGATCCAGCAGTTTGTTCATATTCAGCACACGGGGTTTTGAGAGCCCAGGTGTTTAAAGACAACTCATGCAGGCAAACGGTGWTCCCTGTGGGAAAGGGAGTCCCTTGCTGTTCCAAGAAACCCTTGCAAGCCTCAAGGTGCTGTTCATGTATAACAGCTTGTGGAAATTGGAGTCTGCTGTTGTTTAAATACAGGCATGGGGTTTATCTCTCCAAGCTGTAATGGTGGAATGTAAATATTTGAATTGATTTGTGAGTCAYGTTGAATGTTATGTATTAGGTGGGCTGGAAGCAAATTGCATATAACCTCATTCATTTTGAGGTAGAAATTCACCTAAAACTGTCTKTATATTTCATTGATTATTGTCTAAAGTTGATCAACCAACAAAAACAATGCAATATTTAAAATTACTGTCATTCTTCACTGGTTTAATTTTTTTTTTAAAGAAGGGACCTTCTCCTTGGGTTTCAATTATCTTACTTGGATCTTTTTGTTCCAAGCTCGTTTCATTATCAGTATTTCTTTAAGTACATAATGTATATTTGGGTTCTTTAAACAAATAAGCCCACAGGACATCTGCTATATCATAAGGTGTTCTGTTTTTAATGAACCTGGTTTGCCTCCTCGTGCAATGTGATTCTGGGAGCTTCAATAATTTAAGCTTATCTTTTTTTTAGAAATTATTGCAAGAGGTCAGAATGTCTTCAAAYACACAGTGTTAGATTTTAGTGTTACTGCTTAAATATCACTTACATTTTGTTTTGGTGCATCATTACTGTTAGGAAACTCAACACATCTCCAATTAGGAGCATGGGAAAGCTTCAGTCACTTTGAAGCAGGGACCTTGCGCCTTTTGGCTTCTTTCAACAGGATCTAACAACATAATCTGATAAAGACATGAACCCGGGGAGGAAGGTGGTTGCTATCAAATAGTGGCTTCTTCTTCATTATTTTGAGAAACTGAAGGAAATGAAGAAAAACCCAGTATCTGTGCTCAGTTTATAAACCACAAGTGGTGTGGAACAAGTCTTAGAGCTTTAACCTGTTACAGTAATCCAGCAGTGAAAATGGCATTCTCTCGATAATGGTACCCTGGCAATGAGCACCTTTGTCTGGCTGAATTTCTGTCCTGTGATCACTTCATCTGTTCTTTCTTTTTTTATTTTTTTTAGTGATTGGACACCTGGGCACTGAGTGGGTTGTGTATGATTAGTTATCTGTGGAATAAGACCCCTGCCTGGATCACAGCTGAGCCATGTAGGAAACTTTGTTGTCCAGGGATTCATTTATTACCTCTGCCTTTCCTGGGTGCAAAGTCCCTACACTCTTTAAACTTCATGTATAAAATAATGTCCTGTGACCTGACAACTTCCACTGAGACCTGACTTTTTAGGATTATAATAATTTGTAAAATATCTGTTCAGTGCTTATTTGATTGAACCTGAAATTCATGCTAGGAAAAAAACATAAAAATAAAATGTTATCCTGCTGTGTAAGTATATGAATAGTCTATGTTTGCACACTTGGTCTTCAATACCAGTTCCCATTCATGTCATAAAATAGAGGAGAACTGAAAGTGGCTCAGAGTGACCAGAATGATCAGAGTGTGACACAGCTTTTGTACAAGGAGTGACTGAGTAGAGTAGGACACTTTGGGCAAGGGGTGGAATCATTGGGCTGGGGACATGATGAACACAGTTGTGAGTGGCAGAGAAGTGATGAATGTTGAGTGATTTTTGTCCACTCCTCTCCTGTACAGAAATTAATAGTGTTAAAGTAAAAAATAGCTGGTGCAGATGCATGGAGTAGGAGGTTCCTCACAGARTCCATGGCTGAGCAGTGGATCTTGTGTAGGGGCTGTTAATGGTAATTATGGATCTGAGAAGTGGCTTATTGAATTTGTAGAACAAAGTGCATTGAGAGCCTCTGATTCAAGAAGTCAGAGTTTCAATTTCTTTGGAGATGGAAGATTATCCTAGGAAGAAACATTGTGTGCTTACCATTGTATAGATCCTTACAGAGACTTACCTAGTGCTGGTTTCTGAACACACAGTACTGGGCTTGGTGGGCATTTTCCCTGGTGTGGCTAATTTTAAGCTTTTCTGGTGAATTTGTAGCTAAATTACCTCTGGCTCTATAAGCAAAGTAACTAGCTGAGTTTCTTCAACCCCTATATGGTTCTGTGAAAAATCTTTGCCCAGGAGAAGGAGAGAGCTGATGTTACTGCTGCTGTAGAGTTGTAGGATAAGGCAGAAAYTGGAGAGGCTGTGGTAGTTCTAAACTTGTAATAAAGGAAAGGAAAATTGTGCCATATTAGTAAGTGTTGCAAAGCAATGGGTTCAATGGCAATTATTTTTGAATGTGTAGCATATCTGCTCTGCCTGGATAGTGATGGTGGAGGTTGCTGTTGCTTTTGATTTGCTGGGGAAGTTTTCTCTTGGTGCAGATGATACAGAGGCAAAATGAGCCAGGTTATTAGAATCCAAAGGTCTTTGATAACTGGCTTCCTTCTCTCCCCTACACATCTAATGGCAAATACCAGACTCTTCTTGCTCAAAACGTGATGCAGACTGAAAAGGTCACCTCTTCCACCTCTAAGGTCTCCAGAATGGCCTTTTCAGTAAGTGTCAGTGGGCTCAGCTGTTTCAAATGATGCACTGGTTTAAGGGAACCTTGTGCATTTTGGAAAGGGTAAAAAAAGCTTGTGCTTCTCTAAATATTCATGTTAGCCCTGAATATTGCATTTGAGTTAATAGAATAAAAGAGAGAATCAGGCATGACAAGCTGAGGAAAAGCCACAGCTAACATCTCTGCTCATGTGTTCTATGTGGTCTGAAGGACTTGGAAGGAATGTAAGTTGAGTGCCATCTTTCTGTGCTTAAGGTCTTTGCTTGGCTGCCTGTGAAAATTTTAAGGGAAATCACATGTCAGAGTTGCAGCATAAATCCAAATAAAACAAACTTTGAAACAAGTCAACACAAAGGATACAAGAGTCAAAATGAAGCTGAATGCGTACCCCTCAAAAAATAAGAAATAGTGAGTATTTGGATGAGAATTTTATTAGGAGTTTAGTGTCAAGGATTTCAGTTGCTACAGTTGACATAGAACTTGTTTGATAAAACTGCCACGTTTTATCATTTATGTCTTAACATCTCATGAAGATACAGTGCAAGATTGACACACATGGGAAATTTATCAAATAATCTTGGTGTGGGTACTGGTACTTTTGGCTGTTTGATAAATTGCCTTATTTTATAGTGGCATATATGTGATCTTACTTGCAGAGGCATTCCAGTTTGAAAGGGTTGGAAGTGCTGCCAGAAATTCTTTGGATGTGGGAATCGCATGCGCGTTCTTTCAAATAATCCTTAATGGCAGCTCTTTGAGCATCATTGAAAGGCAGGAAGCTTGCTGCTCCCCTCTTCCTTTTCCTCCTGCAAAGGTTAAAAGAACTGTGAGCATATAGGGAATGCATGTGAGCCAGTGGTCTGAGCAGAATAGATTGGGACTGAGGGTTGTCTGGTTTCTAAAGCTGTTCCCCAACTATGTTATTTGTTACAGAGTTTACATTCTAATTAAATTATTAGCTTTAGCACATGGAGAATTGAAGGATTTAAGAGTAATACTGTAGTTGRTTAGTCCTCCTCTTTCTATATGGAAGCCATAAAATCCAAGCCAGTCTTTGGGTAGAAGAGTTTCATTAACAGAATTTAAATTTGAGACAGGTAATTGTGTGACCAACAGATGCAGCCTGAGATTGGGGAAGATTTTTAAAAAGCAAAACCAGAAACCAAAAGAAGACTTGCTTCAGGTCATCAGCTAACGAACTGTAACAGCCTGGAAGAAATTCCATAYTTGAATACAATTTTGCCTTGTTGGCACTTGCTTTGTGGTATTATTTTGCTTTGAGGTATTTGGCATATCCTGCTGGATTAAGTGTCTCTGGTTATCGCTGGTTTTTGTGGCATGATAACTTCCATGYAGGCTTTTAATAAGCTGCCTTTTCTGTCAGTGAGCTGCTCTCAGCTCTTGTAGTCAGCAGCAATTCTTACAGCTCAAGCCTTTAGAAGAAGAAAGTCTCTTGCCAGCCAGAAGAATTATGGTGGTTCTGGCATTACTGCATTCTCTTGACTGTCAAACAATTCAGTATCTTGGTGCTTGTTCTCATTCCAGGAAAGCCAATATTTTCAGTGGACATTCACCCAGATGGGACCAAGTTTGCAACAGGAGGACAAGGTATGTCTGTGTACTGACAGAAGGCAGAACTTTGGGTAATAATAATAATAAAAATAYYAATAATAATCTTGTGCCTTCACAGCACTTGAATTGGTTTGACCCTTTAAGCAGGCATCACTTTTATATCTGAGAATCAGATAATTATGTAAGCTGTTAAAATGTGTTGAGAAGTGCTGTTGTTCCTGCAGAAGGCAGGGTTGCATGTTCTGMTGTCCTCATCCTCTTGGACGTCATTGAGATTGTAGCTGCTATCAACGATTGATTCRTGGCCACATGGGCCAAATTTCTTTTTAATTTGAAGAGGAACTGGATGTGCAGTTGGGCTTTTTCAGTTGCTAAATAGTAGAGCTATTGGAACAGARAAGTCCAATTATATAAATTGAATAGCTTAAGAAATATATGCAAAAATATTCTTTGGTTCACAGTAGTGAAAAATTCTATGGTGGCTACAACAATTGCAATTTAGTATTTGAATAGAWCTTTCCTCTTAAAATTTTATTACAAGTAGTTGTTTTTATAGTTGGTATCAGTTATATATAGTATGATTTTTGAACAGAGTTGTATGAATTAATTTTTAATAGCTTCAAGGAAAATAAAGCACTTCTTACTTACTTGCTGTAATTATATCAAAGCACCATCTGTATTCAAATATTTGCAAAGTCCCCACTGCAGTAATGCCTACATTTTCACATCTGTTCTGCAACTGAGATTAATTTGAAAAGCTTTTGTTGAATGTATTTAGAAGGGGGCTTTTGGTCTCTTACAGGTCAGGATTCTGGCAAAGTTGTGATCTGGAATATGGCTCCTGTCCTGAAAGAGGAAGATGAAAAGAATGAAAATATTCCCAAGATGCTTTGTCAGATGGACAATCACTTAGGTAACAAAGTTGGCTGGTTGGTTGTGTTTTTTTGTTACTGACTATTGGTAATTTGCCAAAACTTGAGACCTACATGTCTGTAATTGCACAAATCATGCCCTGTCCAGTGGTGAAGAATCAGTAAAATACAGCAGAATGGTCTCATACTKTGGCTATGTACTTTTCAAGATATTCAGCAGAAAATTTTGTTAAAATGTGGGGAAATGTGCAGAGGAATATAGACACCTTTGGAAATCTCCCCTATAAGCTTTTTTCAGCTATGGCCACAAAGTATTTGATAATACACATTCTGAGAAACTGGRGAGCTCTGAAGGAAAGGACAGGAGAAAAAAAGTGTGAAGATACATTATATGAAGTAATTGGTTATAGTTCTAAATTATTACACTTACTAATTCCAAATGTCATTATTTATAATGTAGTATGGTCACCTGACAAGTTGTCCCTTCTTTTGTTCAAGATATACCTTTCCTTCTTTGCCCTCTTAATCTCACTTTATTTACCAAACTAAGTTTCCTTCATTAGAGGAATATTAATCTTTCTTCCTTCAAGCCTCTTTTGGTGAAGCTTTTTTAGATAAGGAATAGGGTTTTTSAAGTACAAAATTCCTCAACTGCTACTGAAAGATAAGTACCAATTCATTTATCTAAAGCAGGCAGAGTAACTGCTTAGAGTGGAAAAAGCCCACTTAAATCCTAAACGTCTCCTGTCAGGTTTTGCTTATTTATATTATAAACCCTGTCTGCAGTCCAGAACCACTTMTTCACATATTTCATCTCCCAAACTTTCTTTTCTGCATTCCAGCTTGTGTGAACTGTGTGCGRTGGTCAAACAATGGAGTTTACTTGGCGTCAGGGGGAGATGACAAGTTGATTATGGTGTGGAAACGAGCTGCGTAAGCATGTTTCTTCCTTCAGCTTTATCTTTTATTTCAAGTAGGTTACTCTGTCACATCTTAGTGYTCCTTCCYTGTGCTGGCMTTTTGTARGCTCAGTGCTCCACCTGGTGTGTAAGGAGCCCAAACCTGTGATACCAAATCAATCACCTTAAATGCTACCATTTCATGCTATGTACATTTTATTGAAGCTGATTTTTTAATAGCTGGAATTACTTCCTCTAAAAAAAAATTCTTTTTCTTCTGTTTTCATTGTAGGAATAACTGATTATAAAATAGAATTACATTGTGCACTGATTTTCTTTAAAAAGAAAGTGAAGAACTTGTGGTGGTTCTTTTTATAACTGTTTCTGTTTTAATTAGGTACATTGGACCTAGCACTGTGTTTGGTTCTAGTAACAAACTTACTAATGTTGAGCAGTGGAGGTGTGTATCAATTCTCAGAAGCCATTCAGGGGGTAAGTTTAAAGATGTTGTATGAATATAATTATTTATGTATTTGGGAAAAAATATTGTGTTCAGTGTCATGTCTTCTTGCAAATATATATATTTGATGACGAGTCAGTAATTAATTTTAAGAGCAAAGATTAAAATCTAAAAGAAAATATTATTTTTATTTAAATGCTATTTTCATATAAGTAACTTCTGGCAACTATGTAGGAGAAAAATTAACATCTAAGAAGCTTATATTTTGTTATTTTCTAGCTTAAAAATGAATCTGAATAAAGGAAGCTAAACTGTATTTTCAATTAATGTTCACACTGGCAATGAATAATCTGATTGGCAAAAGACCAAGTTTTTGTGAACCAAAGAATATTAATGTTTGTTTAGAAGAAAAATAACTGAAGAGCAATGCAAAAATTGAATAAACAAATAATTTCAAATGCATTTTGCATCTGCTGACATGAGCTATGATTAAAATCAAGATGGAAATCACTTTGATCACTCCACGTGTGTTGGAACAAAGTGAATGCATTGTAATAGCTTGTGTTACCTTTTCATTCAAAACAAGACAGAGTTCTTTGTGCAGGCATTAGTACTTTCTACAATCACTGAACATTTAATTCTTTCCCTTTGGGTTTTTCTTTTCATCCCCATTGAACATTGGAAGTTGGGGAGTCTCACTCCCAATGAGTGTTGCTGTGTTCTCTCTTACCTGCCACTTCAGTGAGGTGATAATAATTTCTCAGTGATAGCAAAATATTGCCACACAAATGCTTTGTAAAAAGATTTTTGGATTTTCTGGTTACCATCAATCTCTTAAATGGAATTTTTTTCCCCCAACAGATGTGATGGATGTAGCGTGGTCTCCGCATGATGCCTGGCTGGCATCTTGTAGTGTGGATAACACTGTTGTCATCTGGAAYGCTGTCAAATTTCCAGGTGAGAACTCTTACATTTYRCATGTGCYRRTGTGTAAAGCTTTGTGACAAACTCKTCCCTCCTTGGGTGTATTCCACTGACTCTTCAAATCTCTAGGTGGGAATGGGTTGTCTGTCTTTTGAGGTGACACACCTGCAGTCTGGTGGGTCAGGACTGGATGGCAATGAGCAGTGGATTCTACTCTGCTGCAGACAACAGCTGCATTCAGACTGTGCTGCTGATTTTGCATGAAAGTCATGATTACATATGTTTTATTTATGTGCCATTTATTTTAAGCTGGCTTCCAATACAGATACCAGAGTGCTTAGACTTTGAAGCTAATTGTGCACCCTCTCAGCCTCTCCTCCCACTGTCTGATAAGCAAGAGTGTGACTGAAAGTAGGTTACCAGGTCTGCCAGCCYTGGGTGTCTGTTGAGTCACAACTTTGACTTGGTTCACACTTGCTGCACAAAGCTGAATTAGTTGTGATAATCTTTGGGTGTGGAGGAAAGGGTGAATGTTTAACTGAAATTCCAGTTCAAGTGTTGCTTTCCACACTTCAAAGTGCCCTGAAGCACCGGGGCTCTGTGGCTCTTCCTGCTCTGATGTATGTCTTACAAGGAGTTTTGCATCCCTTATTTTGGCCAGAGTTCTCTTTATCACTTTTTTTTATATCAGTGCTTTCATAAGTACAGGTTCCAGTTTGGTTGATATTTTGTTTCTACTGTAAAAGAGGTTATACYTAAAACACTGGTTCAAAAACATCTTGTAAATCTTYTCAACAGTCTGCCCTAAAGGAGACYGCAGTAACTACTCTCTGTTCTCAATTTTTGTGTGCACAGAAATTCTTGCSACTTTGAAAGGGCATTCTGGCTTGGTGAAAGGGCTGACCTGGGATCCTGTTGGGAAATACATTGCATCTCAGGCTGATGATCGAAGTTTAAAGGTGTGGCGGACCATGGACTGGCAGCTGGAAACCAGCATCACAAAACCCTTTGATGAGGTACTTCAGAATGTGTGACTGTTCTAAGTGAATTCCCTTAGAATGAATGAAAACTAGAAGAATAACTGATTCTGCACAAACGTGAATTAATTGAGCAGTTCTGAATCAAATGAAGCTCTCAGATGGCAGTTTCAAATGGCGGGGGGGAAAGAACTACTTTCTCATACACAATTTAGTTGACTACAGACTCTTATTGCCATTGGATATTGAGGATGCCATAGATGTGCATGGGTTATGTAGACAGTTTACATTCTGGRTATGTACTGGTTATTCCAAGGAAGTATTGGCACACTGATTACAGTCTGACATTCTTCCCTATGCATCTTCTATTGGCTGCTCTCAGGAATGAGGTAAGTACTTATGAGGGATCTTTGGTCTGGCATCATAGGAYTGTTATGTGATGACTTTGATCAAGAGATCAAGTTTCTGGGGACAGAAGCTGGTGCTTGGTGAGTGGAGTGTTCTGCAGTGATCTTACGGTATTGTGATTAGTGCAATTACTCTTTGTAATAGCCCATATCTGCTTCAACTCACGTGGGAGCTGATGTGGCAAGYTGAAATGTCATCATTAGCTTCATAGCTGAAGCTGTGCTTCAGCCCTGTCACTAACTACGACTGTTACAAATACTGAGGAAGCAGTATCTAAGAATATGTATCATTTGTGTTTCCTCTGAAACAGCCCTCTTAGTTTCTTTTCCCTGCTTTTGATAGGGCTTCTTAAATTACACTACATCACCTGTGTAAACATGGCTAAGTACTGAGAGTTGTGTATAAGGTCATTCTTTCATATTCACAGAAAACTTACTTTGTAATCATATTTCCTGATTCTGAAATTTAAATAGTATTTATTAAAAATTATTGTTTGCCAAACATTTTCAAAGCTGTAGTATGTTTTTTTTTTTGTCAGTGTGGAGGGACAACTCAYGTGTTGCGCCTTAGCTGGTCGCCTGATGGTCACTATCTTGTTTCTGCTCATGCCATGAATAATTCTGGACCCACTGCTCAGATCATTGAGAGGGATGGATGGAAAACCAACATGGATTTTGTAGGGCATCGGAAGGCAGTTACAGTAGTGGTGAGTGAGTGATAGTAATTTATCCCTGAAGTTAAAACTCATATGTGCTGTTTGATAATTTTATGTATAAATGGGACAAGAGGTGAAGAAGGATGTCAAGATTAGTAAAGCAAATGCATGGTGGTGATTAAAAAATGTCARCTTTACCTGTTGGAAGCAATCAGGTTGCTCTTGTGTTAATAGAACTAGATGTAAATGAATGAGACAAGAGGCAATACAGGAGCATGTTAGGAATGTCAAGCATCAGCTTTGTTATCTGTTCAGTGACTTGATTAAAGTAATTTAACTTTCTAGTGGGTTCCTGGTCCTCAGTAAAATTAATATAATTTGCCATTCCWGCTAAGGCATTCAGAAAGCCTCTTAAAAAAGCCTCTTCAGCTTTTGTCAGTGCTCTTATAAACATCTGGTTCGGGACTTTGTTTCTATGAAATGTTGCTTTTCCACCCTTAAGTGAAAAATTCACTTTTAAAGCAGATCTCCTGCTAAAATGTAATTACTGTGATAAAATCTGRGCATCTCATTTGTACAGAAATTCAATCCAAAAATCTTCAAAAAGAAGCAAAAGAATGGGAGCTCCACCAAGTCAAGTTGTCCCTACTGCTGTTGTGCTGTCGGTAGTAAAGATCGATCTCTTTCTGTCTGGGTAAGTGATTTTTTTGCTGCCTTTGAACTTAATGTGGTCATTGGATTACTTGGGGGTTTAGCACAAAGGTCATGTGTACAGCATTAGGTCTTATATTTAGTTTCATGTTCAGGAGTTGTTTTATGTGTCTGTTTTTACAGGTTTAGCTGCGGGGGAAGGAAATGGATTGGTTTTAGTTTATTTCTCTGAAGGCAAGAGCAGTTAGATGCCAGTGGTAGTGTGTGCCCTGCTAAGGGGGAGCAACCTTTATGGGATATAATGCATTACCACAGTTAATAAATGCAACCTTATTTTCTTCCTTTTACATGTCTTCTGTCTKTGTAAAGGAAAGAGATGTGAAAGTGAACAAGCTTTTTGAGCATTCTTTCRAGACTTTGATATCTARTCAGGGTTTTACTTTAAAATCTACACTAAAATTTTTATTCTGGCTAAGACAAGAGTGGCTSTTTTCACATTTATMAATGCAACTGGAAAATACAGGGAAWCAATTGCACTGATTTGTAAAGCTTTGTGGTGAGAACTCGTGCCAGAATGCACCAATTGCTACCTGCAACCTACTATTTATGGATTCCAGTGTGAYATTTATCCATCAATCTCTGGATGCATAACTAAATCTGTTTCTGGTAATGGCCWCCAGTGCATCCCCATATCAAAGTATCAATCAATATGTTTTACTTTCTATTTATACTATGAATATTTCATTTGGAGTGGCTGTTGAGGTTATAGTAGATWCTACAGAGATGCAAAGTTATAGATTGTCATTGCCCTGAGGAGCTTAATAAAMATATATAGAGCACAGTCCTATGGAAGCATAAATAACTACTGAAGATGACAGCTACACTGCATCTGTGAACCTGTGAGCATAAAACTTCCTTGACCATATCAACTTCTGCTTCATTTCAGTTGTACTATACACCATAGATATTAAAGTCCAGTGGTTTGACATTAAAGAGCTTAGAAKGTCTGATTTAGTACAGTTTATTGGGAGTTTTCATATTCAGTTCTTGGTTACTAAGCTGATTCTCAAGTGGAGAGGAATCCGCTTTAAGAGTAATTGTGAGTCAAATTCCCTTTGCTCTTGATAGGTTTCACTTTCTCAGACAAGTAGTCTGAGTGAGGACATGGAAACCTAATCTGGTTTCTGTCTTCTTGTGCTGGCACTTTGCAGCATCCTTATCTCAGTACAGCTTAGAATAGAAGCTGTCTTTCACATCTGTGGAATTGCTTTTGGAGTGGCAGAGAGTGTTTTATGACTGAGATGTAGAGACAGAGTTGATTAAGAAATTCAGTCTGTGTTTCAGAAAGGAGAATTGAATGTCAGCTGTTCCAGAGCTCTTCTGTTGCAGCAGTGGAATGGGTGAACTGGTGCCTCACATACACCAGCAGGCATGCAGCTGTTTCCTGGCCAGATCTTGTTTGGTACATGGTGTTAGGCTCTGGGAAAAAATAATGTAGAACTTCTACATTTCTGAGTGTTGTTTCTTGTTTTCTTAAGCTCACGTGTCTGAAACGACCTTTAGTTGTCATACATGAGCTGTTTGACAAGTCAATCATGGACATCTCCTGGTAAGTTGATTTCTGCTGCTTTTGTCATGAAAGCCAAAGAGTTGCTGTCAACTTTAGGTGTACTTATTACCTGGAAATGCCTTAAAACAGTACAAAATGTGGTTGTTGGAACATAAAGAATTGGTTCCCAAAAGTTTTGTTTCTGCTGCAACATCTTTGGTTGTAGTGCTAGCAGATAACACGTGGTCACATGAGATTATTAACTGAACTAAAAGTAAAGTATTTAGAACATGACACAGTAAAATAGCTGTGGAATGAGTTCATASTTGTTATGATTCTCTGACATTTTCTCATGGAATGTGTATTTTGTAACGTGACTTGATGAACTCAGTTAACTTGTTGAGTTTTATGTGTGTTACATCTAATGAAAAGTTGGCTGGACAATCCACTTTCTCAGCAGTCTGCTGTCCCTAGTCTTGTTTCCTCTTTCTGCAGTGCGTGGTGCTCTGTATTCTCCTGCTTTCTTCCTTAGGTCTGGTCATAAAAGAAGTTAATAGTTTTTAATTAACTGCAATTAACTAATAAGAGAAAAATAATCGTGAGACCACTCAGTAAATTGTTTTCAAAAATACTCTTCATCTRTACATCTGGTGATCTAGAAAGTTAAGGGTTATGTACAAGAAAAAACTCAGTAGTTTTAGAAGATAGGCACACGGCTGTTTACATAGGTTGTCTTAATTCTATCACCTCCTTACTTCTGAAACTCCCTTAATAGTTGCAGCAATCTCTTGGTGGGTTTATACTGTGAATTTTGAAGCTTACAATTGTGTAACATTCTGGTTTCTATGTGCCATGTGGATTTTGCCATGAAGTTCRGTGAACCACAATAAAAAGTTTTCAAAACCAAAACATTTTTCTTTCATTAACAGATTAAGGCAAGAAAGCCAACAAGTAGAATATTTCRTGAGAAGTGCTGCTATTGTTATAGTACAATAGCTTTGAATAGTTTTGTTTTCCTGTCGTGTTTTTTATTTCTCCATCTGCAATTTGCAGATTTTTCATGACATGAAGTCATTGGGAGTAAGAGCTGGTTAACATTTTGCAATTTCTGAGGAAATGGTTTTGTGGGRTATTTGAAAGACAAAGGATCATCAGGCAGCTTATTACTTTATATCCTGTTTACAAATTTAAACGGATGGCTGAAATGTCAATAATATGAAGTGTTCCCAGAAACMTGCTCCATTCTGAAAAGAGACTGAATAAATTCAGAGAAACCTGAAACTATTATATTGTTCTATCTGTATAACTTCTATTTTAGAATTTTAGACTGGGATCCATCAGCATAATATCTGCAAATGATTATGTTTTCACAGAACAATTGCTTGGATCCAGAGGTCAATAGGAGCTCAGCAATTTTCTCTGCTAAGCAGGCAGAAAACTCCCAACAATATTTTATTGTTTTCTAAACTTGGAGTACTGTTCGTTTACCTTGTTTCACAGTGCTGAGGCTGATTTCTCTGGATGTGATACTATCAGGGCACCAGCTGCCAGAAAAATAGRGGTTTTCAAATGCCTATAGCTGTGGTACATTGTAATAGATTTTTAATAACTTGGGTGATAGGACTTTGGAGTTTTACCAGCTTTCCTTTCYTCTTCCCTTCTGTGTAACAATTCATCTGTAAACCACTGTGTCGCTGCCTCTGKGAGCTCTGTGCTTGGAAGTGTCTGGAACAGCAGTCAAAATTCATTAAGTACTTTTTAAATGTGCAATTATAGGAATTATAGGTTATATATGCAACAATGTAATTCTATTAAGATTTGAATGTATAGCTTCTCCTCTCTCTTTTTGCTARGAAAACCATTTGAGACCTCTAGAAGAGGGTTCCAATATATTCCCACATATAAGAACATGTGCAATTTATTTAAAAACCCAAATAATGAACAATAACAAAATCAAACCTGTGTTCTTGCCTCGTACCAAGATTTTTGGACTGCTTGATTGCTGAGAGTCCCTTTTTTCACCACTTCCCTTAAGCACAAAAATTTGGTCATCTCTTGAAGCAGATACATTTATAATTTCCTCTCACTGTTCCTTGTGAGCATTATTCTGGTTTATCCTTCAGGAAAGTTTTCATGGTGCTGCTCATGCCATGGGCAGGTGTATTGTCCCAATGCCACCATCCTTGTGCAAAGGATCAGGGACTCAGAGCACAGGGACTCTGCTGCTTGCCATCCTGTCTCCTCGCTGTCCCACCTCTTTGGTTCCATCAGTTGTTGCTGCAATAATAACTAAAATTTTTATTGAACAATCTATCATACTTCTCCTTTGCATCAATGAAAGATACTAAAAACAAACTTGGATCTTTATTTCCTTCAGGACCCTTAATGGACTTGGTATCCTGGTGTGTTCCATGGATGGATCAGTGGCATTTTTGGACTTCTCCCAGGATGAACTTGGGGATCCACTCAGCGAGGAGGAAAAGGTACAGTAAGCACTCAGAGAGCCTGTGATCATATTTCAGGMATGTATTGATTCAATTAAAATATTGGCTTATTTATAGAAGTATGTAGTAAATGATTTTCATATTACAGAGAATGTGCTCTTGTCTGCCTTACATATCAYTAAAAAAGAGTAGTCAAGAAATGAATTTGTGGTATTAGTGGGAAAAAAAGTATTTGGAAAACATCTACTTGCTTATGCATAGTTATACATGTGAAGTAATTATTTGGCCAAGGAAACAAGAAGTGTGTGCCTCAAAACACTATAAAATTACTCTTTTACTTGTTAGCAAGTCTTTTTGAACTGGTTGCTATTGGTTGTTTCTCCTCTCATTGAGCTTTGAATTCTAATTATTTTACATATTGATTTCGTGTTAGTTGAAAACACAAAGAAAGAAAAAGAAATATAAATGATCCAGAGGGCAGTTGCACTTTATGGATTCCAYTGGATTTATGTGATGCCACTGTGTTGTAATTTGTGATATAGCACTTGTAGTCACTCACATCTTTAAYRCCCACAGAGCAACATTCACCAGTCCACCTATGGCAAGAGCCTGGCTATCATGACTGAAGCTCAGTTGTCCACCACCATTATTGAGAATCCAGAGATGCTCAAGTACCAGCAGAGGCAGCAGCAGCAGGGGGATCAGAAGAATGCATCMATTCGGGAAGGCTCTGGCAATTCCACAGCTCCCAAAGTGGCAAGCATGGTTAATGGGGAGAGCCTGGAGGACATTAGAAAGGTGGGTGCTCTTGGGCACTGTCAATACTGAGCCAATAAATATCCAACTGCCTATGATACAACCAGTTTCTGCATCCTTGTTTGTGTTGAATGGCACCTTTCTGCCRGTTAACCAAGTTAGTGCGTTATTTCCTGGGACTTGTTGGAAAGTTAAATGCTTTTAAGCAGAAGTGAGRCTATGTGGAAATGGATTTTTGGATMTTTCTATGATGGGTGCAAAATTCTTGGTGTGCAGAAAGGAAGCCAAGAGTAGCTAATGACAGAGAAACGGTAGAACTGTGCTTCACTTTCTCAATYACAGAGGTTGAAAGCATTATTTAATTCTCTCCTAAACAYAGAACACAACCTCTAATGAAAGATTTAATATGCACAGATGACAATGTTTTAGACTTGGTTCCRAAGTGGAGAGCAGATGACATTCTCCACAAATGCCTTTTCTACAGGTGGATAGACTGAAAATTGGAAGTGTGTGTTTATGGGAAAAAGTCTTTGTTAAYGAATTTTTAATAAGKCACYTCTTCTAATATACCTATTCTTRTCAGTTTGAAAAATAAAATTAAAATAGCATTTCCCATTTATCAGTAACTATGATAAAATGTATTTCCTAACAGAATCTCTTAAAAAARCAAGTTGAAACACGAACAGCAGATGGTCGGAGAAGGATCACACCTCTCTGCATAGCTCAACTGGACACTGGGTATGTTTGGAAGTAATCTTTAAAATCCTTCTTTACCTTCTTATCTTCTTTTTTCTTTGTTACCTGTTCCAAACCTGGCATTCTGTCTTATGGCATCATAAAACACTTCTTGGAAATAAGTRTGTATTTTCATGAAATAGAGTTTCAACTGTCTTCTTTAGCCATGAAATCTCACTCCTAAAAGATCAGGCTAATTCTCATTATCTACTGTTACAGATGAACAATGCTCTAATGTATTGTTGATTCATATCTATATTATGGCTTTATTATCCTTTGGATATGAGAAATTGCTCTGGAAAGGTACTGGGAATTTATTTRGGTTGTATATGAGTATCCACATGTGGAAAAAGGAAGAATGGAATAAATAGTTTAGTTAAAATTACTACTTTTCAATTCCTTTTAAAGTGTTTTTGAGAAATACATATATTATTTGTCTTTTTGCTTAGGGATTTTTCTACAGCATTTTTCAACAGCATCCCAATATCTGGAACTCTGTCTGGCTCAATGATGTCTTCTCAAAGTAACCAGCAGCTCATGTCACTAGATTCTAACGCAGCAAATTCCCTTAATACTTCAAAGCCTTCTGTAGAGCCAACAGCAGCCAGTATAAAACCAACAGATGATGCAGCCAATAAAGATGGGTCAGTATTTGCTGGTTTGTTTTTTACTTACACGAGTCTGTTTAGTTTCTAATTCTTGTTTACAGAAGTACACAGTTGATTGTTAATGCTTTAACAAAATGATRAGCTTATGGGTTGTAGGGTTGGTATTAGTAAATAATAGAAGGTTTTCCAGTAGTAGGAGTATGAAACTACTTTACATCAGATTCTGACCTGTGTCCTCTCTTCATCCCTGTATAACAACCCCATCAAAGCACAGTGACATTGACTTGTCAGAGCACAAGTGCTGATTGGCCAGTGTGTCTTTCAAATTAATTACAGAACAACTAAATTTTACTTGATCTTCCATCAGTGGTAGCACTGACCTGGCTGCTTCTCAGTGTGTTTTTATAATATTTTTAACAGCATAGTGTAATTAAAACCTCTACTTCTCCATCAAATTCAGTTGAAATTGGCCACAGATTAAAAAATGAGCGGGTGGACTATGAGAGATGATTGACAGATGAAACTATTAAGTATCCTTTTCTTTGTAAATTGTACTTCTAGCAGCTCTTTAGTACAAGCATCAGTTATTTTAGAGCCATTCATTCTCTGAATTCATTCTCTGAATGAATTGAAAAATCTCTAAAGTAAACAGCTATTCAAATAACAGATCCCTGGAATGCTTTAGTGTGGGGAAAACAACATTCCTTTGCCCTAGAGTTATGCTTGGAAAGGCCTAATAATCAGTTTGTATTTTTCAACAATGAAGTCTAAACCTGGCGTGAATTGTTTCATCCCAAATAGTTTGATTGATAAACAGTGAATATAATATTGTAATGGAAATATTTGGTGACCTGAACAAGGGGTAAAAGCAGGAGCCCCTGTGATTATTTTAAAAAGTGATCCTTTCYYTTGGTGCAAGTATCAGMTGAAAGTATAATTTCATTCCCRAATTTAAAATACTAWTAAATAAAAATAAATTCATTAGGGYCTTTTAATCCAGATATGTGGCCACTCTGAGGTGTATCATAGACAGCTTCTGAGAGCAGGCAAAGCTTGCAAAACACTGATGCATGAAAGAGTGGAAAAAGAATATCATTAATGATGATGTACTGGAGTGAAAGGTTTTAACATGGTTTCTGGTATTATCATGAATGCTGGTTGTTGTGAGCAGTGCAGGTTACCAGTATTAAATTTCTTTCAATCCTTCTTTTGCTGTCTGTTTTGTTGACAGTGTAAATGCTACCTCTGCCTCAGCTGCTCCTGCATCGTCTTCCTCTGTGTTGACAACTCCATCCAAGATTGAACCTATGAAAGCATTTGATTCTAGATTCACAGAACGATCCAAAGCCACCTCAGGGACTGCTGTTGTAACAAACACAAATCAGACTGTTGTGGACAGGTAAGACACAGCCTGGGGTAGGGGGAAAACAATAATGTAGAGTTGAAACTAATTCTCTGTGGTGCAGATGTCAGTGCTGACACTCTAGAAGTTGTCTTGGATTTCTTCCATTATTRGAAGGAAGGGAACAGCTACAAATAGGTAAATTCTGTGCTGGTGTTGTCCCTTTGTACATTTGTCCCTGGCATTTTGGTATCAAGCAGATTCTTCAAGGTATTCCAAGTTGAAACTATTGCTGTAGGAAGCTGTGTGTGCTCTATGGCATGCTCAGCCACATGCCTCCCTGTGTGGCTGAGTGCAGCTGGGCTCCTCAGGAGACAAAACCAGCCAAAAATAGCCAGACTGCATCTCTGTTCAAAAGAGATTTACTTCAAGATAAATTACCATACATGTCAGCAGATTAACTCTCATCATCACAGCTATGTTTCAGTTTTATGCCTTGAAGGCAGGCAGAGAAGATTCTTTGATTTTAAAGGGTTTTGGCTCTGGATCCATGTGATTTAAGAAAATAAAAAAAAAGAAAGCATTGTTTTGTGACATAGTTATGGCATAAGTATTCCTGCTTCACCAAAACAAGTAATAAAAAATGGGCAGTCTTGAGAAAGAAGTATGTAGTTCCCCAGTTATTATCAATAAAACATGTTTTTATACATTAATATTTTTATGTCAAGGAGCTTAACCGTGGGATGCAGAAGCATGATGTATTAAATTACTCTCATAATTGCTTCTGTTATGTCAGTGAAATATGGATAAAAGTGTATTGTTTGGCATAATTCAGATACCAGAGGAAAAAGGTTTGGATTATGCAAGGTATTTTACTGAAGCTGAGCAGTTAWAGAATAAGTGGCAAAGCAGTGTGAGTTAATAACCAGCTGTTGGAGGGAATGGGAAGAGTGATTTAATGAGCTATTTTAGGGTATAATGGTTAACAAGAGAGTTCACAGGGATTGTACTTTGAATTGGTTATATTAAATTTAGTTATATAGGGACATGGACCTGTTGGAGCAAGTCCAGAGGAGGCCACAAAGATGATGAGAGGGCTGGAGCTCTTCTGTGAAGAGCTGGGGCTGTACAGCCTGGGAAGGAGAAGGCTCCAGGTGACCTTATTGCAGCCTTCCAGTGCCTGAAGGGGCTACAAAAAATGGGAGAGGGACTTTTCACAGAGGCATGTAGTGACAGGACAAGGGGAAATGGCTTCAAACTGAAAAAGAGCAGGTTTAGATGAGATATTAGTAAAAAATCCTTTACTGTGAGGGTGGTGAGACACTGGAATGGGTTGCCCAGAGAAGTTGTTGATGCCCCTTCTCTGGAAGTCTTCATGGCTGGGTTGGATGGGACTTAGAGCAGCCTGGCCTAGTGAAAGGCGTCCCTGCCCATGGCACAGAGTTGGAATGAGATGGTCTTTAAGGTCTGTTCCAACCCAAACCATTCTGGGATTCCATGATCATGTTTCCTGAAATGAAGATGGAGCAATGAGGTCATTTGTTGGTTTGCAGATGCACATTTTGCAGTAGTCAGAACTGAACAGAACAACTGCTGGGGATAGACAACAGAATGAYGAAGCAGAAAGTCTTATGTCCACTGAAGGGRAAAAGATAAAGTACTCTTGCATCTTAGAGTGCTGAATTATTTGTATCAGCTCAGGGAAAGAGATCTGATTGTAATTGGAACTGAATGCTAAAATAAAGTTGCTATTTCCAGCTTTATCCCGTGGCTAACTGCTGGTTTGATTAATTTTTTCAAAGGGGAGAATATGTCTGATTGGCTTATGTATTTATTGCACATTGTACTTTCAGAGAGGATTTGCCATACCTCTTCAGCTTCCTCCTCTTGCCCTTGTGCATTTTGAAATGCAGTCAAAGAGGGCTAAGAAATGTCAACTTATCTGCAAGAAGGCAATATGTGGGATACGTGGCAACTTTTGGAATCAGCTTTTTTTTTACAGACTTCTTTTTTACAGACTGAAGGATCAGAATTTAATTAAAGACAATAAGCCCAAGGACATTTTGGAGAGCAGCAGTGACAGTGAAGAGAAGATTCCAGCTGTTAAACCACTCAGTGTACCCAAACGGAAACTGGAACTTGAGGGAGAAACAGTAGAAAAGAAGAAAAAAGGAAGGCCTCGGAAAGAYTCCAGACTTGTACCAGTAACTTTAACTGTTCAGGTGAAATAAATAAGATTAATTGTGGCTTTCAACATTAATAAAGTCAGTCCCGTGTTGACTTTTCCCATCAACTCAGGGAAACACARGCAGTACCAGTCCCTCAGAATTTTTAGCCATGTTCCTCCATGCCTTTAAATTTACTGGTTTTAGAATTTAAGATTAGAAAACACCGGTGTGCATGGTGTGGCAAATATGTTTTATCTTCCATATAGATATGCAGGTACTTCCTAAAGTCCCAGCAAGCTAAGTAATGATAGCCTGCCAAGTGACTATATAGAATGAAATGAAATGCCATCAGGTTTTGGTGGTGTCTGATGGAGAGTGCCCAAGCACAAGAAAGTGATTTGGATATGATTACTTAAATGGTTATGAATTTCCTCAGAACCCTAAAGTAGTTGCATTACAGCTTTCATCATTTTGGGGTATATAGATTTCTCTATTTTAAGTATGTAGAGCTTAGATTTTACATGCAATATACCAKAATTTCTGTGAATTAGTTGCAGCTGGAAATAGGGGATATTTCCAAAAGAACAAAAAGACCAATTAATTTTATTTTTCCTTAATTCTTAGAAGCTATATGAAAAAACTTGTATTCGTACAACTAATTGGAAAAAAATTAATATTTGCGATTGGCATTATTTGGAGTTTTAAGAAAATTCTCTTTCAAATTGATTTGGTAGAATATATTTAGTTTTGACGTACTTTTAATAGAAAAATGTAACTATTTCTKCAATTTTTTTCCAGTCCCCAGCTACACTGGCCTCTGAGAAGGATGCTGCTTGCATCTCTGCACCAGCATTAGCACTTAAACTGCCAACCCCAATCCCACAGAAATCGTTTACTTTGCAAGTAAGTGGACTATAAGGAAAAAAAGATCTATACTTGAAAAAACAAACAAAAAAAAATCCTGGTATCTTTTAAATATTTCTAGGTTATTCACATCCTTTGTGAAGTTAATATTTGAATGCATGTATTTGCTCAAGGAAGCAAGATGGTGAACACTTCAGCTTCTAAGAATATGTCTTTATGAGTAAAGATAATGGCAAATCAGCTAAAAATAGGACATTTCTGACCTAGCTAAACTTCAAAGAGGAGTGAGTRCCTCTGGTTCATCAGTGCCCTCCCTGGTTTGCCAAAGTGTGTGGTGCAGATAAGAGCCTCTGGTGGGAGCAGCTGCTGCACTGTTGCTGCAGTGGTGTTGGAAACCACTGAAGAATAAAAACAAGGGTTTTCTGAGAGCACTCTGGAGGTGCTCTGCATCTGAACTGGAAAATAGTAGTGCTTTAGGCATTTATGGAATAGTTTTTATGCATGTTTAGGCTGTGGTAGTCTGGTTCCAATTGCGAGACTGTGGGGAGACTGGGCACATACAGACTTGATCTGATGCCCATAATGGGGAAGCAGAGACAGACTGGCACAACCTTTCCTTACSTTTGTGCTTCAAATACAAACAAATTATTTGTGTTTTAGCCAAGGCTGATTTTCAGAGGTCTGCTCCTTTTGAAGTGCCATGGTATATTTTGAAACAGACAATGCCATACTTAAATCTGCTCTTAAAGACAGCATTATTTTGGATCTAATAGCAGTTGCTGCTATTTTGAGTAGTTTTCTCCTCTTCCAAAAATTGTTTTATTTTTTTTGTGTTCCAGATAAGTTCAGATCCTTCAATGTACCTTGAAGTGGAGAATGAAATGACCTCAGTGGGGGGTTCAAAGTTGAGCAGGTTAAAGTGTAATCGAGAAGGGAAGGAATGGGAGACAGTCCTCACCAGTCGAATCCTCGCTGCAGCAGGAAGCTGGTAAGAGAATATGTTTTAGAGGAAGGGGGTCCTGAAGGCCAGAAGACATTTTTAGCTGTACAAAAGTGCAGTTCACAGTTATTTTTCATAATAAATATTTATGGATAGAAGTGCGCACTGTTCTTAGTCTCAGGTTTTGCTTAAAGTATTAACTCCATGCAGTCTTAAAACATCACCAATTCATATTAGCTAGTTACAACTATTTTCCTGTATTTTTTACATTTCTCATTTAAATTTCTTCATTAAAGCTGACTAAATCATACATGACAGTTTTTCAAATGCTAGCCACTGAAGAATGAAAAACTTGAAATGGCATGTTTTGTCATGAAGTGTTTTCTTGAGTCTTTTGCTATTTTTTCTCTTAATTTTTCTCAATTTTGCCCAGTTCCAAATTCAGAGTTTAACTTKAAAGTTTGTTTCTGAAGCCTGAGCCCTGTCCATGTCTGAAAAAGAAGCAACAGATTTTAAAGCTAAATACAAGTACAGACTTGAAGAAGAGCTTGTGTATACCCAAAAGCTTCATTGATATTTCCAGCTATGCCCTTTTTTCTGTCTAGTTTATAACTTTTCCTCTTGGTATCAAAATTTTTTTCTTAAAGCTGCAATAGTTACTTTTTGGGGAGTTTACCCAAGTTGTATGATAGCTTCAGAATTCACCCCATTTTTATGCTACTTGGATTTGACCATATGTATTTTTTTTTTCCAGTGAGATTGTAACCGTGGCCTGTGAGAAACGAACAYTGTCAGTATTTTCAGCTTGTGGTCGTCGCCTTCTTCCTCCTATAATATTGAATACACCCATTTCCACCCTGCATTGCACAGGTTCTTGCATCATGGCTCTCACCACTGCTGCTACGCTCTCTGTTTGGTAAGGACACGTTTGGCTGCAGCAGTGCCTCAGCTCATGTTCATAGGTACCTTCAGTTGTGTTGCTGCATTGCTGTTCAGACTGAGGCTTAAACCACATCTGGTCTGAGCACAAGTCCATTTTTGAATAGAATATGCAGAATTAACTGGGCAGGACTTGTTTGTGTTTCAGCAGAATCCTGTCTYTGTTCTTGGACATTCCATGATATTGAACTTCATTCTAGAATGAAGATAAAGATTAAAAGTGCTTGTGATGTATGTGGAATGGATTGGGTGAGGGGAAAGGAGAAATAAGGATATTTCCATCTTCCATCACACTTAAATGAGTTTCAGGGTTAAAATGCTCCAGCCATTTTCAAGATATAAAGATAAAAACAGTGGTAACTTGTTTATAGTTTAATTCAATCTAATGTCTCAGGCAAGTCAGAGCTCCTAAAGGAGTTGTTTGGATCCTCAGTGTTTGCTTTGCTGTAATGAGGTTTCCTGATAAAGAGCCATAAAAATTACTCTCTGCTACTGASTTCTGTCTCGCCATAAGGGGTTTGAGTTTGCCAAAATAATTTTGTCAAAGCAATGAAGAAAATGTCAAAACAAAAAACCACACAAACAAACTCCCAAACCCCCCACTTTGTCATGAATAGTGAAGAAGTGCATTTGTTAAAAGATTTTGGAGTTRTTTGTTGTTTGTTGACTGCAGACTTGTCCTTTTGTCTTTTTYAGGGATGTTCACAAGCAGACAGCCATTGTTAGAGATGAGTCTTTGCAAACAATATTTTCAGGTAATAAAAAAGATCCTTTAATTACCAACCTTTGAGCCCACCTGTACTATATAGTGCCATTTGTGAATGTGATGAAATTTTCTGAAACCTGAAAAGCCTAAACAAATAATTTCCCTTYATTATGTAATAAAGGCGAGTTCTTGAAATAACAGTGATGACAATATCAGTGAGTAGCAAACTTGTGTGAGATCTGTAGCTTATATTCTGCCTCACTTCTGAATGTAGAAATTCAGCATTGTGGAGATTTTCCCTAGATAAGGAGAATTTCCTGATAAAGCCCAYGTTCCTTATAAATCACAGCATCAAGACTGATAATGTATTTTGCAAAATTGGTGTTAATGCTATTGCACTGAACCTGGTGCTTGCTATCATTATGTCTTGGCCTTCCTATCAGTGCCTGAGAGCAACATTGAACGTTTTTCTGTTGGTTGGTAAAACCAATAATGAATGGTGATACCATTCCTTACCATCATGAGTCTCAGGCAAGACTCCAACAGAAACAGTTTGGTCTGATTTGACTTGTAGGAAGTGATGCAACTGTCTCTCAGATCTTGCTGACTCAGCATGGAATTCCTGTCATGAGCATGTCTGATGGAAAGGCCTACTGCTTTAATCCTTCTCTTTCTACATGGTAAGTCGTGTATTATTTCCTGCTTTTGCAACTTGGAGGAACTGGCGTGTGTTCTGATTTACTGGGAAGAAATCATTCTACCTGAGAGTTATGGAAGATTCATTAATTAACACAAGAAAAGACTACACAAGAGTCTAAGTCTTGTTGGCTTTCCCCTGGAAAGGCATAGGTTCCTATGAAAAATTTCCATGTCTTTCCAAAACAGGTTCTTTGTTGTCTAAGAGGAAAAAAAACCCCATGTTGTAGTCCTAATATAATTGTTGTAATTAGTGTAATGAGCCTGCTTGATGAAAGGGCTTATTGTTTTAACTCCTCCTAAGCATAATTGTTGTTATTCAACTACTTGAAGCAAATCCTCTGGGAAAAGAAAAGCACCTTATTCTTTATATTAAGGGAGTAAGGAGCAGAGGACAGGCTCTCAGCCAAAATTGTGAATTTGCTGCCATTTCTTAGGTTGTACCACAACTTGGGAAATATGTAAAAGAGCAATGCCTTTAGTCGTCACACAATGATAAAGCAGCAAAGGGTAATTTAAATATTTGTACCATTTTACCCCTGTGCTGAAGGTCTAAACTTAGCATTGGTTTGACCACTCTTTCTCCTGGCATCTCAAGGCAGTGAAGATGATATCCTTGATCAGGTGTGGAAATGGCAGCTGTAATGTTAGCTCCCTCCACATGAAGGGATAGSTGTAACTGTGGAAAAGATTGTCAATGTGTCTGTCTGGTGTGTTTGGGGGGTGATCTGACATGAGTTAAAATCAGGTTTTTAATGAGATGAGTCAGTCATTACCTGTGTTCCCTCCAGGCATCATTCTGGCTTCTTATTAGACTGTAAAATAACAAGTAGGAAGTTAATTTCCTTCCAAACTAACGGTAAATTCTATTATGCAATTAACATTTTGAACTTTAGGGGTCGGAGAGACATGGCATAAGCAGAATTTGGACATGCAGTGGGAATAATCCRGGTCCCTGGAATTCCTGAGCAGTTCAGTGATATTTTCTGGGTCATCTGAAAACACAAGTCAGGCTTTGAGGCAGAACAGAGCTGGATCCGCTGATGTTGCTCTTTGCACTCCTCTGACTTGTTTTTTGGTTGTTTGTTTTTTTTTCAGGAATCTTGTTTCTGACAAACAGGACTCTCTAGCACAATGTGCAGACTTCAGGACTAGTTTGCCATCCCAAGAAGCCATGCTGTGTTCTGGGCCCTTGGCTGTAATACAGGGACGGACATCAAAGTACGCACTCGCTGCCTTCGTGTCATCAGCACATTTTTCTGGGTTTTCTTCTGTAATTTATTCCCATGCCTGAATCACTGAGTTAGTTCTTCAAATGCCAATRGCTCTGAAATGATCAGTCCTTCATACAGTGTTTTTTTCCAGCCTTTGCATGTTTATAGTGTGTACTTTAATGTTAGGAGATTGTTTGGAGTGCAGCAAAGCATGCTATAAATGTCATCATTTTAAGGTTCCTCTTTACTGGATGGGTAAAATATTGGACAGTTCTGTTTATGTAATACTTTTATTAGCTAAACTCAGGGTTTTTTTTAGGCCTTCTGGAGTAGGCCTACAAATTTTGAGTAGTTCAGTTGGCCTTAAAAAAAATGAAGTCTTAGAGAAAGTTGAGATATTAGTCATCTAGTGAGTATTTTTAACATGTGAAAATATCACCAAGGAATTGTGTGAGCCAGAGCAGATCCATGTAGGTAGTTTAATAGCTTATCCTCACTTGGATTTGAATTAGATTTCCCAGACAGATTTCTTTGCTATTTCTGCACTTCACATCTAAATTTAATATTTTTTTTGTAGAGAAACTGTATGGAGTTGTGTGATTTTATTGCTGTTCTCCTGAGGGGAAGGAGAAAAATTAACATTCAATTAATTGTGAAAAACATTTGAAATCCAAACAAACAACACTCTCTTTTTGRGAGAGAGAGACAATAACAGACTGAAAAATTCCATTTTTGAAAAAATTTCTAATAACTGGTTACTTTTTTTTAAAATCAGCCTTCTTACAACAATATGTTTATATGCACGAAATCCTTTAAATGCTTCATCTTTATATCTTGTGTGCTTTTGAAAGGTCAGTGCAGTAAAGCTAGTGCTACAAAAAGATATATTCCTTAAACTTGTATCTGATTTTATGGCACATTAATCTGTTTGGTTTTGCAGTTCGGGAAGGCAAGCTGCAAGATTGTTCTCCATGCCTCATTTAGTGCAACAAGAAACAACACTTGCATACCTGGAGAACCAGATAGCAGCAGCACTTATATTACAATCCAGTCACGAATATCACCACTGGCTCCTTATCTATGCACGGTACCTAGTTAATGAAGGTGAGACCTGCTGGGCTGTGGTGCTTCTCTGCAGCTCTGATGGGCTTTTGAGAAACACTYTGTTTGTGTCATGTATATGTATGATTGCATTTAATGTCCTCCTTTTAGTACTTGGCTTCTGGACTCAAGGTTTATTTAAAACCAAACAAATGGCGTTTGCTTCTGCAGTGCTCAGGAATCCTGTTGTGACACGGTGACTGTGAGCAGACCATGGYCCAGGGAAGCAGTGCCATCTGCAGACTCCAGTAAAGGCAGTTGCATTTTAAAAAAGCCCAGTGRTCAGTCAGGCACACCCATTGTATTCCCTGGCAGCAGCTACAGGTGTTGCAGGGGAACCAGCAGCACTTTGTAAAATGCAGAACGTTCCTCAGCCAGCTGACAATTGCTGGCTGATGTGAGATGGAGGGGTTGCTTGGTGTCTGACACTCTGCACCAGAGCACAKAAAACTGCAGACAATTTGCTTGTATCACTTGCACTTTATTATGTTTTTACATTTGGAAATTTCAACTGCCTGTAGTGGTGAACCCCACATATTAAACTCTGCGAGGAAGGAAACCCACAAGAAAGTTCCTTGTGTCTATTTTATATTTGAATACACTTAATCTCCATGTTGTTAATATTAAGTAAGGTTAACTAATGGACTTTATACTTTTTAGATTCTAGAGATCTCTGTTGTATCTCTGCCTGTCTGCATTYGTAACTTAGTAGTTCCCATTGTATTAATTCAGCCTTACTCCTCACCTTGCATAATCATTCTGCACAGAGGGAAATTAAATGGTTCGTGTTGGGCCACCTAATAGGTGTTGGCAGAATTAAAATCAAACTCATTAATTTTTGCCTTTTGACCTTCACCTTATTTAACAAGAGAGCTTGTTGAACTGCATGTGGTTCTCTCTGTCCTTCCCCAGTTGAAATTAAAATATTCATTTTGGGTCATATGTTAAAGAGATGGTTGTACTTTTAAAAGCCTTCACTAATGAGAAACTCTGCTGTGTGTGCTGGGTTCGTCTGGCACCTGCAAATGTTACTGAGATGGATGGATGGATGGATGGATGGATGGATGGATGGATGGATCTCACAAAAACTGTGCTTTGCCAGATGTGTATTTTTGCTGCTTCACTAGTTTTCTAGAGTTGCTGAACTTTCAAAATTGCACATCCCATTATTGACCCCTTATTATGACTATTTCAACATCTACTGAATTCTAATCCATTAAAATATTCGATCTATTACACATTGATTGGCAAGTTACTTTTGGCTGAAGGTGAAGGATGTAGACTTTGTTATTTGCAAGTGAATTCTCCCCTCTGATTTTTGGGTGAATAAAAGTGGCCTGGAAGCTGTGTGTGGTCTTATTAAAGGTGTCTTGGTTTTTTAAAAGCTGGTATGTTTATATGGAAGGCGGGGGTGAGGTTGAGATCAGGGCAGTTCTTAAAACAACCTGGAGTAATTACTTCACACTTCAGTTTTTCTCCCTATGGTAGATCATCTTTAGTAGTGGTTTTAGTTTTGAGAACCTTACATAAAACCCTTCAGAGCTCTAAAAATCATCTTGCATTTCCTAAGATTTGCTRTAAGAATAGTAATATAACTTCTCAGAAATCAATGTTTTGGGCTTTATTTTATTCTCAATACTTGTAATTCTTCCCTGAAAGTTGTCTGTTGTGGAGTGGTTATATGTAGTGAAATGCTTCTGAATGTGATTTTATTTCTGATAATATGCAGGGTTTGAATATCGTTTGCGAGAATTATGCAAGGATTTACTGGGTCCAGTCCATTACTCAGCTGGAAGTCAGTGGGAATCAACAGTTATGGTAAGTTTAATGAAGAACTGATAACAGTTTAATGAGGAACAAAGAAGAGTTTCCCATTAAAATTACAGGGTATTGCTCTGATCACAAAAGCAGGTTTCTTCCCATGGCACTGAGATTTATTCCATGTGAAACCATTGGCAAATGCTTGTTTTTCCAGTGTCAGCTGTGGTGCTGTTTTGAGTATCACACAGATGAAGGAGAGTTGCATGTTCAGCTCTCCACATTTTCAGGCAGCAGCTTTGAAACAGGGACATGCCAAAGACACATCATCCCCCTCAGAACACAGCCTGGAGTCTGGAACTGCAGAGGCTGCTCCAGCTTTGTGAGGGTGTAAATGTAAAGACAGTTTTTATTCTGGGAGTCATGGAAGCTGTGTGAGAACATAAAACAGCTCTCTCTAGGCAGGAAAAAGGGCATGAATCTTAAACAGCTTTATGGAACATGCTAATGATAACAAGGAATAGATTCTGAGGATGCTTTTGTGTTTTCTGTGCAGGGTTTACGAAAGAGAGAACTATTGAAAGAGCTTCTTCCTGTTATTGGACAGAACCTCCGCTTCCAGAGGCTTTTCACAGAGTATCAAGAGCAGCTGGACATCTTGAGAGACAAGTAGGGTGTCCCCAGATTTTCCCTGTGGGGCCTGGTCTGAGAGAAACTGCTGAACAGCGYTAACCAGAGACAGAAGAGGAGCGAGAGCCCGGTCAGGGGGGACACTCCTGAAGAAGGGCTGTGCCGCAGAGGTGCCAGCAGATTCCTGAAAATGATGAGTGGAGGAGATTGACAGTTTCCCAAGTGAAACTCGACCATCGAAGCTGTGGCCTCTGTTTCTATGGAAAGTCATGGATATGTACTTCAGGGGGATCCTTTTGGATCTGGATCTCATTTAATATTAAAACTAGCTGAGAACTGTTTGTGCGGTTTCTTGGATGTCCTGTGAAAAGCACAGTACTTCAGAGTACACTGAACAGCATATTTAACCCTGTTTAGGGTTTTTTGCCTGAGGATTTATTGAGGCTCAACACTATATTAAATTAGATGAATGAGCCACGTTAAAAGAAATTTCATAAATATTAAGGTATTATGCAGCCAATAGACTCTTTCCTGTGAATATAATAATAATAAGAGGCTGTTCTAACACATGGACTATTTTTGTACTAGAATTTGCTAACTTGTAATATGGAATTTTATTTGGCCAATAATCAGGCTATCACTACAAAGTCATCTTGTAGGAGTTTAATTACAAAGGCTATGTTTCAAAGTAATTCTACCAAATTAACATGTCATCATCAGGTTTTTAATTTTTCAATGTTTGTAAAAGGCATTTTGGGGGGAGGGGGAGGGATACGAGGGGGTGGCTCTTTTTGTAAGTACAAAATAAAAGAACATTGCATTGGTTTAAAAAAAAACAAAAAGCAAAAACATGGTCTTGAATTATTACAAAGGTCACAGGCATCTCCAGAAATGTCAACAGAGGCTGAATCACATTRAGGTGTCTAGAAAGAAATAATTCTGTCTGGATGATCTTTCCTCTGAAAGCATGATCAGACAAGTGCTGGTGATGTCTGTGGAAGTGTCCAGTGTTTGCYCCCAGAGCCCCATCTCAGCCAAGGGCGTGGGAGCTGTGTGGGAGTTCTCATCATCTCAGACAGAGCCAAACAGGCTCCCCTGACCACGGCCCAGAGTGGCCAGCACTGCATGCAGTTATGGCCATGTTCCTTGTGGAGTGCTTTTGGAATTCTACTGAAACCAGATCAAGTTGTTTTCCCAGAATATGTTTGGTGCTGGGAAAGGAGCAACTGAATTGTTTGTTTCTTTGCAGGCTCTGCTGTTTGGATCTGCCTCATTGCTTTGCAATGTTTTTGAGTAAGAGAATTGAAATGAGTATGTGTATTTAAACCTTTGTAAAAGGGCAGTTTCTCCCCTAAATATCTGAGACAAATAATACCCTTCACCCTCAGCCAGGACAAGGACAAGGTGTGCTGCTGTGGCCAAAGGGGACTGACCCTTTCCAGGAAGGCAGCTTTGCAGTTACCTGGTTCTATGCATCCCAAAAGGAGGGATGTGTTCTTTAAGGCAACAAACCCCTGCTTTTGGAAGTTTTGTGCCTCCAAATATCACCAGATTGCCTTGTACAGCACTCCTGTGCACACCGACTGCACTGTCCTGACATAGCAGGTATTCTTCAGCCTGGCACCAGTGAGTTTGCAACAAGCAGTGGGAAATGGAGGGATAATACAGCCTGGTGCTAGGGAAAGTGAAGGTGATGGGGAGAGCCATCCACATCCCCTGACCTCCAGTCCAAAGAGTCTGATAACAGTTATAACGTTGTATATGATTCACATGCTGTTGCCAATTAGACTACACTAATGGGAACAAGCATTCTGTTCCTCAGAGGAGAACTGTAATAGTAGGATCATTGAGTGTTTGGGTTGGAAGGTACTTCCAGGAGCCCTTTAGTCTCACCCCTTCAGGCAGAGCAGGTTTTGCTCACCTTGTGTTCATGAGTGTGGCCAAGGACCAACTGCTGGGGTTAAATGAGGAGCTGAAGAGCATTTTCTGGTGAGAAGCGGAGTGTGGTCCAAAGCCCGGAGCAGGCAGTGGGAGTTTGGCTATCCACTTCATGGATTTCACTCCAGTGGCTCTGTGTAGACAGCAGCCAGCTTGATGGTTTAACAGAGAAAGAACAAAGGAGCATAAATACATTCGGAGGTGTTTGGTAAGTGAAAGCTCCAGGACAACGGGATGTTTCCTCCACCTAAAGACAAGGTATCCGGACTGCCCATCCTGTTAAGCCTTGTACTCTGTTCATACCAGTCTTGTAATGAAGGCTCTTTAAAGGGTTTTAAAGGTAATTAACTAAGTGACAATTCTTTGCCGTTAAGTCTTTGAAGAGACACTGAAATACATTTTGTGAAGAGCTGTCTCCATTTTAAAACACCAAACAGCTTTTTCTCCTCATTTTTCCTTGGGAGGTTCTATCACGGCCCAATAGACCAGGAATACAATGATTTTAAATTCCATGSGAGAAAACACATTTAAATGCAAAGGAAGCCCAGGCAGGCTGCTGTGATGTCTCCCCAAGCTTCTCCAGGCTGCCCATCCCCATCCCGCGGGCCCGGCTCTCCCCGGAACGCGCCGCCGCCGCCGCTGTTTCCGCTGTTTCCGCGGCCGTTCCCCGCCGCACCCGGCGGAAGGCGCGGGCGGGCCTGAGGCGCGGCTCGGGGAGCGCGGCCCGAGCAGGCCCAGCCGCCACCATGGGCAAGCGACAGCACCAGAAGGACAAGATGTGAGCGGGGGCCGCGGGGAGGGGTGCGGGGGGCCGGGCTGTGCCGGGGCCGTGTGTGYGCTGTCCCTCAGTGACCCCCCTGTCTCGCAGGTACATCACGTGCGCCGAGTACACGCAGTTCTACGGCGGCAAGAAAGCAGGTAAAGGGGGGCCGGGCTCTCCCTCACATCCCCGGRCAGCAGTGCTGAGCCCCCAGCCGGCTCCGAGCCCCGGGCTGCCGCCTGGTACCGCTCGGAAATGTCGCCTTTGTGGCCAGAGGAGCGTCCCCGCCCTCAGCCGGGTCTGTGCCGGCGGCGGGGCAGAGCCTCAGCGTTGATCATCACATTCAAACTCAGCGCTGGCGGTCTGGCACAGCTCTGCTGGGATCTTTTCCCGGCAGTGTAATTCCAGTTCAGAAATTTGAGTTACAGGTTTGCACTCCTTAGTGTATTTATCTTTGCCGTCAGTAAGTTGCTAGTGTTTAAGTAGCAAAATGTAACTTTCAAATGTTTCTTCATTACCTAGAATACCATATATTTATTAAAATCTGTTTGTGGGTTTTCTTTTTCCATAAACAGATCTTCCACGAACCAATTTTAGACGTTTATCATTTGATCACTGCAGGTAAGACTACAAAGTTACATTATCATTATTAAATGACACATCTGTTTGTCAGGCTGTTGACACTGAACTAAGGCCATGTTCTTCTCAGGCAGTTACTTTCATTGATTCGTGATTGCTGTGCCAGTAGTGGCAAGAAAAAGTTCAATAAGAACTGAAACAGAGTCTGCATGTTCCATGATCAGTGTCTGCAAAGGTTGGAGCAGATGGCTGAAAGAATACACAAGAAATAAAACAATGCAGAACAATGATAAAACAATACAGAACAATTACTGTGTACATCCCAGTCTTTCAAATTTGTGTAATCAGGGCTCAAATCTACTTCGCCCTGTTCAGAATGTGTTTGGTCAGCCACTCATCTCACTGAGATAGTGATTAAGAAAAAAAAATCTGCTTTTTTTTTTTGTTTATAGTTTAATGCTTGAAGTGCAGGAGTGAAAGAAGGGAATTGGTAGAAGTGGTTAGAAATCCTTGTAAATGTGGCAGTTCAGGCAGTTGCCTTCTGTATCTATGAGCTAACAGCTGCCAGGATTATGGAAGCATTCCTAACAGGGGATGCCCAATATGTTTGCCAGTGATATTCATGATTTCCAGCTGATTTTGCTAACAAGAGTTTGTTGTCTTTTTCCTAGTTTGTCTCTGCAGCCATTTGAATACCCAGTTTGCACACCAGACGGGACAGTCTTTGACATCCTGTAAGTTCCTGTCTGTRCTTAGCTGTGTTTTTGTGTTGTTGAACTTGTTACAGCTGAGTAATCATCGTTTGGTCTTAGCAAGTCAGCAAAAACAATCATGGCTMTCAGTAGAGGTTTCTGATGTTGGTTGTCATTATTCTTGTCCCTTTTCTTTTCAGGAGCATTGTTCCTTGGATAAAGAAATACGGAACCAATCCAATCACAGGAGAAGTAAGTAATGATGGGTGTGTTCCCATCATGTCTTTGCTTTCCTTATGCTAGTTTCTTGTATAATGTGTTGGAGAAGCAAAAATGCCTCAGTGAAAGCGAAAGAATTTGAGTGGTTTGGAAGATGTGTGGAAGAAAGGAGAGCGTTACATCTATTTTTTGTGATTGGATTGGAAATAGGGCAGGGGTGAGTAGTTCATTTATATGTAYTCTCAGGGTATCTTGCCTGCCTTCCAGCTGTGGCATAATGAACATCTGTGATGCTGGTGCTGCCCACAATGCTTGACTGGTCACTGATAAAAAAGGCTCTGCTGCTGGCTCATGTAGGCAGAATTCTGCTCYCCACAGGGCAAGGGGCTGGCACCTCTCCATCTGGGATTAAACTTGCAGCAATATTTCCTTACCCAAAGGATATTTGGCATCATGCAGATTAAGGAGATATTATGAATGGAAACCGTACACTTCAAAATCTTTTGAGTTATCCTGGTGTCATGGTTTTACACCTGGCAGTGTATTTCAGAAAGGGTCTGTCATGATAGTTCACTGTGAGAGAAACCTGTGTATCTTCCCCCTTTTTCTGCACAAGTGAYAATTACGAAGGGATTACTTTTTGTCATAACATGAAGTACAGGAATTTTTTCCCTGTTGGAATTACTTTTTTTTCCGATGTGTAAAGTGCATTGCTTATGAGGGCATAGAAGAAAATTCTAAGCAGAAAGTTGTATTTTCCTTTAGTGCATGCAGTTACTTTTCCAGGCACTGGATGGCAGCCATTGCCCAGGATTGGGGAGCTTTGCTGATGGCTCTGGGCTGTGAGATTCTCTCTGAAACATCTTGTGTTTGATTGAAGATTTGCCCGTCAGATAAATACGAGAAAAAGCTACACACAGACGCAAAATTCCAAACTCTGAACAAGAACAGCCTGTTTGAGACTCAGTATTTTCTGGCAGGTGTGTTTGTGCAATGGGGAGATGACTGAAGGTCTTTCTTCACACGTGAAGAGGCTGATGCGTTGTTGAGAAGGAATGAAATTACAGCTATTTCATTTGTTTTCACCCGCCTCTCACCACCTTGCTGCTCTCTGCATTGGTTGGGAGTTTTGAGGTGTTACCAGATCAATTTTTTTCACTCAGAACAGCTCATTGCAGACTGTGAACTGTGATGTGGTTTAAAATTGCTTTGAGTAAACGCTAAGCGAGAGGTGGTGTTGTGTAATGGAGAGAGAGGGAGACTGTGTAGAATAGACTTGTTGACCCATAAATGCTTAAATGAACTCAGGCCTTGAGACCTGTTTGTTTATCAGACCTGTGCCTCTGTAGTTGGTCTGCAGTGCACTTCCAGCTCTCCTCAGTGTGCATTTCCCCCTTTTCATTTGTATCACTGTCTGGGGAGCCCTTTCTTCCCCTGTTTTGCTCTGTGGTGGACTGGTGCTGTACAGCTCTCTCCTCCACTGGACAAAGGTGTTCCAGGTCAGCTGGAAAAAAAAGGAGACGCTTGTTCTCCAGAACAGCACAAAGCCCTGCTCAATCCAGCCCTGAGGAGCTCTGAATTGAAGAGCAGGGTTGAAAGAAGGATTGTAATTTAGACTTTGTTTCCCAGAGGGGCAGCTCATGTGTTTGGAGGGGGAGGAT